TCTCTCCCCCCCCCCCCCCCGACTTCAGACTGTACCGGAGTTTCTTATGCATTTTACCAGAGGGAAGCACTCAGATGACATAGGTCGTCCCAAAGCAAGTCATACCATTTTTATTTTTTTTTTGCTGCTTTTTTTTACATATTCCACCCGGCAACACAGAAATGTGATTTTCCGGTCATGGCAGTTCCATTGACGGAAAAAGTGGAACTTTGGCACAGCCCAGTTTCCCAAGCCTGCCGCCATGAAGCCTAGAACCACATCTGACTTTTACCCACTGTAGGGAGGTTTTATGGAATTAGCTATCGCTGACCCCTTCTTCTGGAAACACTAATTTCCAGGCTCTTGTGGTCATCCCCTGGGTTCAATATTTTCTAAGCTGTGATTTTTTTCTAGTGACCGCAGTTTAGGTGATGGAAGGCATGGAACTCTGGCATGGCTGCTCCCAAAAATGCCAACATAAAACTGAAACAACCGAAATCAGAACTCTGTAGGAAGGCTTCATAGATGCTTCCATTTCTAAAAATACTAGCTCACTGGCTGTCATGGTCATCCAATGGCTTCAGTACTTTCTTAGTCACTAACTGGAGACAAGTAAAAGTTCTGACTAACCAATAAGCTTGGTCCGAGTTCTTGGCTCAAAATTACAGGCAACAAACACTTTCAGCAGTGGGAGTCTGGGTAAAGGCGCCTTGTAAATCCTTCCCATGTTTTGCGCCACTGGAGAAGGGGCTGGACCAATCAGGGAACAGTTTTATGATGTCATTAATTTATGTTTTATGAATGAATGGCTCTGATACTTAAACTAAACCGGCTTTCCTTCTGTCCACAGGACGCAATGAGAATTCAACTGGAGCTTCCATATCCGTTGGAGCAAGAGAAAATTAAAAAAAAAAAAACAAGAGAAAACAGTAAAAAAAGAAGAGCGGGGAGTGCAGCGGAGATCTTTGAACTTGGACTTACAAGATGTATTTATTTCCTGTAAATAAAAACCAGAGACTGACCCGAACCCCCAAATGCGCTGTCTTCCCCCCGCCGTTTGTAATACTGCACAGCCGCCCCCCCTGCGGCCCCTCCCTTCCCCTTATTTATTGGTTGGATTATATATTTATTGTGTTTTTTTTTATTATTATTATTATTCCTTGTGCTGCTGGCGTCCCGTTTCATGTTGCACTTTAATGTCTAGAACGCGCCAAGAATTTTTGTTATTTTTTTTATTTTATTTTTTGATATTGAATTGAATATTATTATTTTTTTTCTCTTTTGTGCATGTATAAGATGTGGCAACTGGTGGAATTTGTACAGAATGTGTAATAAATTCAGTGTCCAAAGTAAGCAAAGCGCTGTCTGGTTCTGAATCCCCCCCACCCTTCCCTTTACTTCCCCCCCAGGGTGATGAGGGCCAAATTTACAACCCACATACTCATAAACATTTGGTATTAAAGGAAAATTTGTCTCTATTTATAGAGCCATTTACATTTTTTTTTTTACTTTAAAGAAGCAGCGGAAAAACTGCGAACCTCCACGGAGGCATCCTATAAAGACCTACAGATTCAGCCTATTCTGTTTTTCATTTCTTTAAATATTTAGTCACTTCAGTGGGGTATTCTTTGTAAAGGAAAGATAAAAAAAGATTGTTACATGTAAAGTCCATATTTGCACAAAGTGAATTAGGCGCTTGCCAATCACATCTGCATGCCGTACTTTCTTTAGTCCGGTGATTGCGCTTAGCTTTTTCTCTTAGTTCTATAGACAGATCGCTATTAATAGAATTTCACTAATAGTGGAAGTGTCATTAAAGCACTTTCATATATAAACTAACGACAGTTCATTGCATGCTGAGCACTAATCCGACATCCAGACATAACATTAATAAAACACATTTTTTTGCAGTCATTCTAGTAGTCACGTGACTTCTCTGGCTCTCTTTTCTAGTGCAGCGGTAGTGGGGAACATGTACACTAGGGCATGTGTGGGCAAACTCCGGCCCTCCAGCTGTTGTGGAACTACAACTCCCATTAAGCATTGCAAGACTCTCACAGCCACAGGCAAGACTCCGAGGGACAGAGGCACGATAAGCTTTGTAGTTTCAGCATAGCTGGAGGCTCGGAGTTTGCCCACTCCTGTACTAGTGGGTTATCTCCTCTATCAGTCCTACAGGCTGGAAACACCTGTACATCCATGCGCCCATGCTGCAAGAAAAAGGGGGACGCTACTGCTAGAATGTTAGAAGTGATCCTACATCTTTACTGGTAGGGATGAGGGAGAGGGAGATTTTTCATGTCCCTAAAATTGTGGTGAAAATCCAATAGGAATTTCGATAGGAGTCGATTGAAAAAGCAAAAATATGTTAATTCTGAAACGGGGGGGG